GCGCGCCGACCAGCACGAACTGGTGGAAGCGACGCCCATCTACCGCCGCAGCGGTCGCCAAAAAACTGGTCTTAGCCAAGCTCGCAGGCGCGGACGCTTGGCGAGCGAGGCCACATCGGATGCCCCCGACGCCGCTCTCTCTGCGAGCTGGCGCAGGAGGCCGGGTGAAATCCTGAGCAAGTCTAGCTGCCCCACTCTTTCCGAGACCACCGCCCGAGCCGACTCCGACCTCCACCCCAGATCAGCGAGAGAGAGCGGCCGGACATGGGCGGGCGAAGCGGCGGCCCCCCACTTCGAGGCGGCCGCCTGGAAGGTCCCGCGCCGACACGAAACAAGCCTAAAGAATGTTCAGCGGCGGGGGCCCCTCCCAGACGGCACGCGCCCACATGTAAGCAACTTCGCCGCGGCACAGCCTAGCTGGGTCGAGCTGGGCCCCAAGAGTGGAGCTCAGGAGACGCAGGCCCGTCGAGGCCGTCCTCTTCCTCCGAAAGAGACTGCACACTGCCTGGAAACGAAGTGCGCGGAGCTTCCTGCCAAGCTACCCCACGACCGCAGAGCCCCAAAAGGCACGCCGCTCGGGGCCCAGCACGGTGCACCGCGCAGATCTTCGCGCCAGCCCCACGCAGTCTTCCAAGGCGCCCCGCGCGGCGGAAGTCCGAACCCCACGCCTGCCAGCCGTCGCCGCATCCGTGCCCAGGTTGCGAGCAACACCCCTACGCCTGAACCCAAGAGCCCCCCACTCGATGGACAGACGGTCGGCAACAGACTGGCAGGACGCGAGGAGAAAACTCCCACTGCCCTGCAGCACGAGTCCTAGGCCAGAAAAACCCAAGGCGAGCTCACGGCCCACCGCGCCCAGCTGCTCCGCCGCGCGCCTCACCGCCCCGATGCACTGCGCCGACACGTCGTTCACCGCGCTGCGCACCGCCTATGTCAGGCGCTCACGGCCGAGGCTGACGAACATGCGGCACTGACTTCGATCATCGCGGGCGCCAGGCTGCAGCCCGCAAGGACCGCCCCGCCGCTCACCGTGACAGCCGCACTGCAGCAGCCCTGGAAGGAGATCGCCCGCGGCCCGCGGTACAAGGCGAACGCCGCACGGAGGACGCGCATGCGGAAACCGACCTCCTGGGCCTCCTTGCCCAGGGTGGCACGCGACGCAAACTCGCACGCCTTCTTCAAGTCCGCGAAGAGGGAGCCAGACTCCACGCCCCCAGCCAGCGCGGCTGCACGACTTGTCGCGCACTCCCCAAAAAGGCCGCCAGAAAGTGATCGCGCCCCCACTGCTGGGCGAGGCACGCCCTCAGGCGGCTCCACACTCGCAGCAGGCTGGCGATCAGCGCAATCGGCCTGAGGCCACCACCACCCTTGCCAATGAAGATGATCAGCGTGGGCGAGAGGGCGGACCACGAAGGCGAACGCTCCCACAGCTCACGCACGTCGAAGATGCGCACCAGGAATTCGTCGGGAAGCAGGAGCCGCCACTGCCCAGCCCCGCGCGGTGAGCGAAGCGGCCCAGCACCTGCTTGAGGCTTGCCAAGCTGGCCCGCGGGAGCTCCTCCTTCTCCGCCGCCGCGAGCGCCTCGGCCCGAGCGGCGCCATGCCCGCCTGCCAGTAGGCCTGCCACGCGGCGAGCAGCGCCTCCACGACCGCGCCCCCCTGCAGCGGGGCCCCGTCGGAGTCCGAAGGCCCGTCGAGCGCTGAAAAGGCCTTGCTGTACCTGTGAGCCTCCGCCCCGCCCTTGGGCACCGCTCCTCTGGCCCAGTCCTGCCAGCGGTGCCAGGCGGCCTGCTGCTGCTGCTCGCGAAGGCGCTCCTCAACCTCGGCCAAGCTGGAAGCGCGAAGCTGCAGTCGGCCAGCTCACTGGGCCCGAGGCGGCCGTCGGCCTCGCGGCCGAAGGCTGCGTGGAGGTCGCGCACCTGGCCCTGCAGCTCACCGGGCCACGCCCGCAGCTGCTCCACTGCGTCTGCTGCACCCGAGTCTCCCCCACCAGCACGAGGAGAGGCACGGGTCTCTCGGGCTGCCTGCCGCGACACTGGCCGTTCAACCCGCAAAGCACCCTCGGCAAGGCCCTGCACGCAGGACACCGAGCCTTCCACTCCAGACAGCTCCTGCGATCGCTGAATGGGTGCACGTTCCCCCCTAGCCCGCGAGGGCTGGGGCCCACGACCAGGTCCAGGCTGCAGCTGCGCATGGGAGGCGTCGCCAGCTCCGCGCCCTCGCAGGAAGGGCCGTCCTCCTGGCGGCAGCACGACCTCGAAGGCACCCTGACCATGCGGGGGGGCAGTGCTCGAACCGCGGACGGCATCGGCCACCCGCCCGTCGGCGACATCGGCGGTGAGCTCGGTGCTGCGGGAGACATCGACCACCCGCGCGTCCGCGGCAGCCCGCTCGCACCCTAGGCTGCCCCCCCGCTGCGGGCGGAGCCAACGCGGCCGTTCCAGAGCGACCTCGCCCTGCCCAGCACCGCAGCCAGGGACCGCCAGGCCCTAGCGGCCTCCGACTGGCCTGGCAGCTGGCGCCTCTTGACCAACACGTCCAGCGAGACTGTGCGAAGGCTCATGCCGTCGGCCCTGCCGCGGTGCTTCTCGCCTGCTAGCCCTTGAGGGTCAAACTGGCAGTAGAGCTCATCCTCCATGTTCCTGAGCCACTCCTGCCACGCTCCAACAGGGCCCAAGCTTGCTGGGGCCCCCCCCTCCGCCCAGCTCCACCAGTGGACCAGCGGCTCGGGGGGGCACACCACCTGCCTCGCCGTCGGGAACTTCCTCCACTTCAGGCGGACTTGGACGGACAGGTTCAGCGAGAAGCCAGAGAGATGCACAGCTCAAACGGCGAGCGGGGTGCCGAGGGCGCCTCCGCGTGCACCATGACCTGGCGCACACAGGAGGCGAGCCCACGCGAAACCACGAAGAAGTCCAGTTCCCTCGGTGCACCAGAGCTTGGGTAGCAGGTCACGCCTCCCGCTGCCACGACGGAGGCCCCAAGGAGCTGCGCCCAGCTGGCGATCCCACCGTCACTGGCAGGCCACGGCGCGCGCAGCTCCGCCAGCCAGCGGCCCAGGCTGTGCAGGAGCGTGATGTTTTTGCCCCCGAAGTCAAGCCCATCGAACAGGTAGACGGAGAGGAACCAGATCCCGCCTGGCACCACCGCCTGAACCTTGAGGCCAGCAATCCTGCCCGCCCATAGCTTGGCCAGGCCTTCCAGGTCGTCGTAGCAGTAGGTCGCGGCCGTGATGTGCCTGGCCGCGCACGCCACGACCCCCGAGGACGTGGCCAGCTTGTGTTTGCCCTTGACCAGGCAGGGCGTGACCGCAGCACGGTAGCCCTGCAGCGCCAGCCAGCTGGACACGCTGCGCGACTCATCGCCGTCGCGCCTCCGCCGTCTCCTGGCCTGCCCAGAAATGGGGCGGCGCCATGACACTGGTCGTGCGCTCCGCCAACCTCCAATCGACGATCGCCTGGAACGAGTTGCGGCCCGTGCTGCTGGCCCACGTGTTGCCGCTAGCTGAGCAGAAGCGCCAGACCGTCTCTCTCGACGAACCCTGGCGGCCGCTAAACCCGCCGCTGCTTCCGAATGGCCGACTTGACCTTGAAGCCCTTGAGCTTACCCCCTCCGCTCCCGTTCCTTCTCAATAACTCCTCCATGTCGCACCCCGAAGCCGGTCGAAAGGGCGGGCCGAGCGTTTCGCCTGAGATTTCCTCACCCACTGTGACCCTGAAGCTTATAAACGTTGGCAACAGATTCACAGATCGAGGGCGGGCGGCTTTCAAAATGTGGCTCTTCCTTTCGCGCCGCGCACATGCGTTTTAAGAATTGTCAAGAGCGTCACGGATTGAGGGCGAGTCATTGTCAAGATGTGGTTATCGCTTTGGCGCCGCGCACACTCGTCGTTAAAATTGGCAAGAGCTTCACTGATTGAGGGCGGGTGGTTTTGAAATGTGGCTCTCGCCTTCGCGCCGCGCACCTTCCTGCAAAGCATTGCAAGAGATGCACGGACTGAGGGCGGGTCGTTTACAACATGTGTTTCTCGTCTTTGCGCCGCACACATTCGTCATTAAAAATTGCAATAACTTCACGGATTGAGGGCGGTTCGTCTTCAACATGTGACCGTATCCTTAGCGCCGCGCACATTCGTGTTGAAAGATTGCAGGAACTTTACGGATTGAGGGCGGCTCCCTTTTCAAAATGTGGATCTCGCCTCAGCGCCGCGCACATTCGTTCTAAAAGTTCACAAAAGTTTCATGATCTCTCATGGTTAACTCACCAGAGATGGTTTGTTGGACCGATTGATGAATCAGGGCGCGACAGTCACGTTGGTTCGCTGTGCTGAAGTCCCAGGAGTGGTGTTCTGGCACGGTTCGGACCGCCAAGACCTCACATTCAGGTCAACTCGTGGCGCTGAAGTCCTGAGAGGCGTGTTTGGGCACGCTTCAGGATTTGTACACGGTTGTCCCCCAACGGGGCAACTTCCTCAGTGGAGATGAACCCGTGAAGGGGCCTATGAAGAGGGAGATTGGAGTGATGGTGTATCCCAACATCGCTATTGAGTCTTAGGTTTACACTGGTTCTCCTCCTCCTCCTCTTCCTCCTCCACCTCCTCCTCCACCTCCTCCTCATCCTCCTCTTCCTGCTCTTCCTCCTCCAACTCCTCCTCCTCCTCCTCCTCCTCCTCCTCCTCCTCCTCCTCCTCCTCCTCCTCCTGCTCCTCCTCCTCCTCCTTCTGCTCCTCTTCCTCCTCCTTCTCCTTCTCCTCCTCCCTCTCCTCCTCCCCTCCACCTCCCCCTCCTCCTCTTCACCCTTCTCCTCCTCTCCTCCTCCTCCTCCTCCTCCTCCTCCTCCTCCTCCTCCTCCTCCTCCTCCTCCTCCTCCTCCTCCTCCCCTCCTCCTCCTCCTCCTCCTCCTCCTCCTTCCCCCCCTCCCCGAGAACGACCTCGCAGAACGTGCAGCCGTCCCTCTCGAACTTCCGCACGGGCTTCCGCAGGGCCTGTAGTCGGCAGCGAGCGAGGGGGGGGAAGTGAGAAGGAGAAAAGGCCTTTTCAGCCCCATCCTTCTGAGAAGTTTTCTGTGCGTCTTCGGGGAAGGCTTTGAAAACTTCTCAGAAGGCCAGGGCACTTCCAAGCCTTCTGAGAAGGCCCGCCCCTTCTCACTTCCCCCCGGGCTCGCCGCCGAACTCGGACCCGGACAAAATCGAGGGTATCTGAGATCCGATGGTTCTGGAGGACTCATCGCGCGCCGCGGCCGTTCCAGAGCGCTCCCGACCGCTCTGAGAGCGCCCTGGGACGCTCTGGGACGATCATCCCCGTTCTCATGCACATGTGTTTCGCGTAGCCAGTCTTCTTGCCGATGCGCCGTCCAGGCGCGGCTCTGTGCGCGTAGCCCCACCCGAGCCTGCCAGGCCTACGATGGGTCGAAGCGCGGAATCCTCCTCCTCCAACTCCTCCTCCTCCTCCTCCTCCTCGCCCTCGTCCTCCTCCTCCTCCTCCTCCTCCTCCTCCTCCTCCTCCTCCTCCTCCTCCTCCTCCTCCTCCTCCTTCGGACCGAACCTCGAAGATGGATCGCACCGCGCCTGGGTCGGCGCGGAGTGGGGTCGCCCGGCATCGCGGAGCCGGCTCGAGCCCCTGCGGGCCAGCGAGGGAACCGCTCCGTGCCGCATCGGACCAAGATTGGTGACCGTGTTTTCCACCACCACCACCATCAGTTGGAGGGGGGGTCCTCCTCCTCCTCCTCCTCCTCCTCCTCCTCCTCCTCCTCCTCCTCCTCCTCCCTCCTCCTCCTCCTCCTCCTCCTCCTCCTCCTCCTCCTCCTCCTCCTCCTCCTCCTCCTCCTCCCCCCCTCCAACTTATGGTGGTGGTGGTGGAAAACAGGCTCATCAAAGATCGGGGTCGGAGTCGACGCTGGGGAGAGCAGGATCTTGAGCAGTGACCGACGGTCCCAGCATTCCTATAGGCCTACCACGAAATGTTCTCAGAACCCAAAACTGTTCGAAGAACAAAAAACAAGGTTCTTATAGCATAAGCCCGATGTGCTAAAACAAGACAGTCTCAGCCAGAATTGTTCTAAGAATGTTTCGTGCAGACCACAAAAGGTTCTTAGAACATTCTCTGGTATGCCTATAATAGGCAAGCTAGGACGCTTCGCCACTGCTTGAGGATCGGCTCCCATCGAACCGCGAGCGGCCCTGCCTGGGGAACCCAACGATACCGATACCGCTACTCTCTGGTCATCTCCCGGAGGGCGTCCTGACCAGAACTTGGCAGCGGACCCAGACGTGGCGACGAGGGCCTCTCCCGAGGCCTCGGCGGGCGACAAGGAGGGAAGGGCCCTTGAGATCCGACGGCGCGGAAAATGATCAGCACCGTGAAGAGGCACGTCCAGAGCCCCGGACCCCATCCTTCTGCTATCTGCTTCGAGCCAGTTCGACCTGCGAGGGTCCCAGGCCCAAAATCATGCAGAAAGCACCTGGCTCGAAAACAATGTGACGCCCGCATCTCAGGGGTAGCGGCATCAATAGGTACATCCTCCTCCTCCTCTGCATGTAGAGGTCTCGTCTATGTGGTCCGAGTGGATAGGGTCGGAGGATCGCGCCGCATCGCCAAGGCACCGCCGATGCATCGGGATGCTTCGGCGGTGCATCGGCGACGCCGGCGATGCATCGGCGCGATCGGTGTGGAGAACCCCTGGCTCCACATCGAGCCGCATCGGCGATGCATCGTCGAGGCGGAGCGATCCTCCGACCCCACCTGCTCGGACCCCACTTTGGGAGGCCTGCAGACTGCCTGCTCCCTCGCGCCAGAGCCGCCCCGGATGCGGGCCACCGCCCTCTGCACGGCCTCGTCCTGGGGAAACGCAGCGGCACCGGTATCGCGACTCCCTGGACCTCTCCCGGGGTGCGCTCTGACCCGAACTCCGAGGCGAATCCAGCGGTGGCGACGAGGGCCTCCCAGGAGGCCCAAGAAGCCGTAAACGAGGCAAGGGTAGCAGTATCGGCTGGCGGCGCGCAGAGGGGGGTTAATGCGAGGGGGGAAGGCTTCTGAGGAGGAGACTGCTTCTCAGAAGGCGCTGGCCTTACGTCTACAGACCAGGCCTGCGCCTTCTGAGAAGGAGGGGGCTTCTAAGAAGCCTGCCCCCTTCCCCCTTACCCCCCTTCTGCGCGGGGCCGAATCGCTACCTTTCCCTCCTCTGACTGGACAAGCACGTTCCACTACTCGCAACTCAACTACTCGCAAATGGCCTGGATCCGCTGCGGGGGATTTACAATAAATTACATGAGGGGAAGGTCGTTTTTTTTTTCGGACACTTGCGAGTGGGCTCTCTGCGAGTAGTGGAACGCGCTCGGCGACTGACGTCCAGTGCGGAGCCCGGCACCACCGCGGGAGGCTCCGGCACGCCCTCGCAGCGCCGCGCGCCGCCCAGCACGCCAGCGAGCGCCGCCTGCGCCGCGCCCTCGGCGCTCTCCTCGAGGTCCGGGATCGAGGCTCGAGCGATGGAGGATCGATCCAGCGAGGTTCGAGCATCGAGGATAGAGGATCGAGGATCGGTCGACCGAGGCTCGAGTCTCGAGGTTCGATCGACCGAGGTGCGAGGGTCGATCGACCGAGGCTCGAGGATCGATCGAGGCTCGAGGCTCGAGGCTCGAGGCTCGAGGCTCGAGGCTCGAGGCTCGAGGCTCGAGAATCGAGGCTCGATCGATCCAGGCTGGATCGATTCAGGCTCGCCGCCCGCTCCTCGGCCCGAGCCGCGTCCGCGCACGGGCCGGCCGGCGGCTCCGCCGAGGGGCGGGGGGGCGCCCCGCGCGGCGGCGGCGGCTGCCAGGAGCGGAAGTCGTCCAGGAGGTCCTGGCAGGGGCTGCGCGCCGCTGGCGGGAGCGCCGAGGTCAGCTCCGCTGTTGGTGGTGTTCGAGCGATCCAGGATCGCTCGATCGAGGCCTTCGGCTCGAGGCTCGAGGATCGAGGATCGGGCGACCGAGGCTCGAGGCTCGAGGTTCGAGGTTCGAAGATCGAGGCTCGATCGGTCGAGGTTCGAATCGAAACGTCGCCAGGCAAACCAGGAACCTCACACGAGCCGACCTGCGACAGGCAGACGCCTGCAGTGAGCCTTGGCCCGAAAGCAAAAGGCGAGCATGCCGCATGCAAAGATGACCCGAAGCCCAAATGGCCAACAGTACTGAATATACACAACACGACGAGAGAAGGCGAGGGGGAAGCACTACGGTTTTCTTTTACAGCGCAATAGGAGGGCAAGGAGGACAATTGAGGAAACGAATGTCGGACAGACAATCCGCGAACTTGAACGAGAGTAACGAGCTGGCGACGCAAATAACCAGCCACGCCTGGTCGAGAGGTCAAGTTAAATTCACTAGCACAAGTCAGAGACTCCAGAATTCAGACCACAGTGTGCCGTCGAATCGCAAAACGCAGAATCAATACGCCTCATGGACCCTGCCTGAAACCATACTAGCACTGTGTGCTGGTGTTGGTGACGCACGTCCGACACGAACACACAGTACGCAAGCCTTCTAGCACAGCCGAGAATATGATCCAAAAAAATAGCATTCACGAAATCTGGGCCAACTTCCCAAAAGGTTTCCATAAACGAACGACAAGTCCTGTTTTTTTTAACACTGGAGGGACAGACGTGCTCGAGGAGCTGGGCCAGCTTGCGGGCACGTCGGTCCAGGAACGCTGACCCAACGTTTCGGGAGGAGGCTTCTTGATCAGACGCTCGACTGTACAGTCGGGGCGTTGACCTAAGGGACCCTAAATAAGGAACGAGGCCCCTTTTTTCCATAAGTCAAACTTCGATTTCCGATCGAAAACATGAGGAAAACCTGCGGCAAGCTGTGAAACACTTAAGGAGCGCGGAGCCCCTCCCCAACGAAAAGGGTTCCTTCTTCAGGGCCCCGACTGTATACCATCGCCCGAGGCCGACGCACACGTGGCAGAAGTACGCTCGGGCGGCGAGCGTCCTGCAGGGGCAGCGCGCCGCTCGCGGAGGCCCGCGCCAGGAACCTTGCGAGGGAAGTCCCGGAGGCCTCACCCGCCAACTCGTCGGACCCACGCCAGGCTTACAGTCGGGGCCCTGAAGAAGGAACCCTTTTCGTTGGGGAGGGGCTCCGCGTTCCTCAAGTGTTTCACAGCTTGCCGCAGGTTTTCCTTAGGTAGGAAATCGAAGTTTAACTTATGGAAAAAAGGGGCCTCGTTCCTTATTTAGGGTTCCTTAGGTCAACGCCCCGACTGAACATCGGGCGCACGTCGGACTCACGTCGGGTTTACGCCGGGTTCACGTCGGACTCACGTCGGACCTACGTCAGAACATCGCCGCGCGAACGTCGTCCGCTATCTGACGGGGCGGACGTGGACTGGGTGAAAGAACTCTTGCGCGCCACGCGAGGCCTCCGGGATTTTCCTCATAGGGAACCGGAGGTGGACGCGGAAGACCGCCTTCGCGCTCACAGTGCACCTGCTGAGCCGCGTTTGGCCAATCCCCATCCTCAGAAGGCAAAGCACGGAAGCTTCTGGTCGTCCCCATGGCGCACCACAGCGCGCCCAATCGCGCGCAAAGCGGACAGAATGCATCTCCCTCACACGGCGCTGCTGGGCGCTAGTGGTCGCTACTGGGCGCTATTTGAACACTATTCGGCGCTACTGGACGCTGTCGGGTGCTGCCTGCCTCCCGAGGTCTTCTTACACCGATTCTTACGTTCTCGCATTTTCGAGTTTCCGAGGTGGTCTGGTGGGGCTGGGACGTCGTGGCCCCCAGCGGGGTGGGGATCGGTCAGACGATGCTGACCTGCGCTTGGCACGCTCGAGCTGCTGCCTCAGGGCGCTCAGCTCCCCCTCCATCGCGGCCAGCACCCTGCCCAGATCCTGGGAGGCCTGCTTGAAGTCGCGCACCACCCCCTCGCGCAGAGAGCCCGGCAAGGAGCAGCCCACGAACGTGCACTCGACCCGCACAGGGGCGCCGTCGACCACGCGGTCCACCCGGAGCTGGCTGAAGGGCGGCAGGAGCCACTCGCGCTCCTTGGGGTACTGGCTCAGTTCGAACATGGGGAAGGCCTGAGTCACGCCGGAGACGGTGAAGAGCACGTTGCGCTCCCGTGGCTCCTGCTGGTTGCAGTAGCTGTCAGAGATTCTGGCATCGTCCGTGGTGCTGGAAGGGGCCGCCCAGAAAATGCTATCCCCTGCCTGCTTGCGCCGGAAATCGTCTACCAACTGCTCTGGGAGCCCACACAGGCCCCTGGTGACCGTGACTGGCACCTCAAGGTCCCTGGCCGAGGCTCCAAGAAAGCACAGCCACTTGACCCACATCTGCACTCCGGCGAGCGCGTCTCTACCGATATTCGAGCTGACGTCCCCGCACGTGTCGAAGCACACGCGGGCCGCCCAGTTCGATACGGAGAACATCTGTGGGCAACGACCACCGTTACAGCGGGCACGGTACTCGTTGTATACGGCGTTCCGCAAGGCAGGCTCCTCCATGCCGGGGGGGAGGACTGGACAATCTGGGAAGCCGAACAGTCTGTCGATGTCCACGTCCTGCATGGTGTACAAGACCCAGCAGCATATCGACAGCAGGTGACCCTGAAGATCCTCGTGGAGGCGCTTGTGGCCGTACCTGGGGAACCCGATAGATACCGATACCGATACCGATACCGATACCTGCGTTCTGACCAGAACATCGAGGCGAATCCAGTCCTGGGGACGAGGGCCTCCCATCCCAAGTGGCCCAAAGAGGCAAAAACGAGGCCAGGGTAGCGGTCTTGGTACCTTTTCCTCCTCCAAACACCTCTCCTGCACGCTGCGGCACACCGACGCCAGCGTCCTGAGCGACAACGCCTCCGATCCTGCGGGGGCTTCGCCCGCGCCAGGCTTCTGCCCACCGGGCTCGCCCAGCGCACCCCTCGGCTGCCGCAGGTTCCCGCACAGCTCCTGCAGCAGCGTCCGCTCCTTCCTGCCCCACTGCTCCGCGATGAGCGCCATGAAGACCCCCACCTTTGGAAGAATAAGAAGAATGAGAAACGGCATAGACATGACTTACATGCATATTTTTTAGCGGTGATTACTTCTCTCTACTGCACTCGCTGGTCTAAGCGACTCGGATCCGAGATGGGAAGACAGAGCGGAGCTCGAACTCCGCAGTTAAACTTCACACATCATCCAGGCATTACTGTCCCTCGAAAAGGGCTTGGGCGGGAGGGGAGCCCAGACGACTACTGAGTGGCACGCTGAGGTGATGAGACCGACATCCCAAAATCCGCTAAGTCATTAATGTGCACGCACCCCCATGACTTACATGCATATTTTTTAGCGGTGATTACTTCTCTCTACTGCACTCGCTGGTCTAAGCGACTCGGGTCCGAGATGGGAAGACAGAGCGGAGCTCGAACTCCGCAGTTAAACTTCACACATCATCCCGAATCAGAAAACCCAAAACAGGTTCTGTTCTCACACTGATAAGTACAGAGCACGAGGGACAGCTAACAGCGTGAACGCTAGGGCTCTCTGGAACCTCTTTGGGATGTGGTGGGCGGGGCGAAGCGAAAAGAGGTGGGGCTGGTGGCAGTCACGGGAACGCTTGCCAGGGCACGCGAGCCCTAGGCGAGAGCAGTCGGCAGACTGTATATTGAAAATGTACGAGACAATCGGAAATCTACCACGACCACCATATCTGCATATATGCGAAACCTGACAGAGAGCACCCTCTAATTCCCTAAACGCTCGGCCGCTCGGCCGACGTCTGAACTTAGCTTTGCACGGCACACAATTATAACTGGGAGTCTCAACTTTACAGCAAGTGTGATCAACGAACGAGTACGCATCATCGTGTCCGAATCGGTCACTGAGACAAACAGGGCAGCAATGCGCGACTCCTGAAAATCTCGGCGCAGCGCGAGCAAGGACCCGAGTGTCAGATCCCGCTCGGCTAGGCTCCTGGTCAAGAAACCCTGTCGCGTAACATGATGCGGCTGCAGGAAAGCGTCGCCGATTAGCAGCACGAAGAGACGACGCTCCCCTAACGGGAGGTGAAAGCGGGCCTGGGCTCCGTGAGACCGTGCAGCTAGATCTCCACGAATCTCTCCTCGCACCGCTCGGCGTGGCTCTGGCGCCAGGCCGGGTGGCGGGCTCACGTGCTGGCCAGGCTTCTTCTCTCGTACCGCACCACAGGCCGATCGCCTTCCCAGCCGCCCCTCTGTTTGACCTCGGCCAGGGTACGCCTGCGGGACGCTATGTCCGCGTTGGCGCCGCTGCGCCGAGCCTGGTACACCCCCAGGTCGAAGCCGAGGTCCTTGGCGACTTTCGCCACTGTCGCCACCAGCTTCGGGTAAGTGAACGACCACATCCGACGGCTTGCAGGCAAGCTCTTCAGCGTCGTACGCATCGGAGCCAGGCGGGACCACCCAGCGTGGTCGAGCTCGATAGTCACGTCGAACTCTCTCGCCTTGGACGGGACCCCCTCGGGCTTGGGGTTGAGCTGGACTGTCCAAATCGACACCCGCGACGGCGGGTACAGGTACTCGGGCTTCAGGGCCATCAGCTGGATGGGCTTGGCGTAGGTGCTCCCCATGAGGCAGATGAACAGCGCCATGTCGAAGCGGCCCAGCAGCACCAGTCCGTTCACGATGGCAAACCAGATGGGCCACGCCTCGGGCGAACGAGATGTGGACGGGCAGAGGTTCTGCCAGCCCTTGAGCGCTTTCCAGCTGCGTGACAGGGCGTGGAGTCCGTTCTTGCCCACTCTCGGCTGGCCGTGAACCACGCCAGCGATCAGCTTCATCCCGTAAGCAGCCGAGAAGCCCCGACGGATCTGCTGGTCCATGTAGCTCAACAGCATGTCGTCCAGGTCCGTGATCGGGATGCTGGTCAGCTTCTTGGCATTCGCGAACGTCCTGAGCGCAGCCACCTCTTGGGCGTACTGGGCCTCCGAGATCTCCCAGAGGCCTGCCGCCGTCTTCAGCGCCCTGACCCCCGCCTCGCCGTTCGCCCACGGAACACGGGATGTGCGCGGCCGTGAGACGGATACGACCTCCGTTGAAGGGAGCCGACGCTTCCTCATAGGATCCGCCAGTGCGGCATCGCTTCGAGGCCGAGAGGGAACCAGAGCGCGGGTGCGTTTGGGTGTAGTCGCTTTCGGATGGATCATACGAATCAGGTTGAGCCAAAGCGGCTACTGAAGAAAGACCGAGACGAGAGCCAGCGGGAGAGGACGTCCCAAGCGAAACGCGGCCGCACGCACGGGCGGCGACGCCCCCACCCCCAAGGCAGGGATGCAAAGGGCCCACCCGCGGGCGAACAGGACGCACAAGGCCCTTGGCGTGCGGCCGCCGCGTCAGCTCTTCCAAACCCCCCTGGGGCTCGTCGCCAGCACAGGGCTCCACCCGAGAGGGGCTGGCAGCGACAGGCGGAAAACCGTCATGGGGGCGTGCCTTATCGGATCGGGGTGGTCTTTTCCATCTACCTCCTTGGACAAAAAATGAGACTTGGGCTGAAAGAGACGGGACGGGGCATCAGCTGGATTCTTTTCAGACGGCACCCACCGCACCGCGAGACGAACATTGCGGCTGAGACACCACGCCGCCATCCTCCTCAGGATGACAAGAACCTTAAAATTCCGACACCTCCACCTGCCCACTGAGAGCACCAGGCCGAGGTTGTCGGCGAAAAGAACCTGGCGGATGTTGCGGCCAAAACGAGTGCGGGTCACGCGCTCGAGCCCGCGGAGCAGCGCTCGAGCCTCCAGCACCAAGATGTCCTCCTCGCCCGAGAACGGCCAGCCACCGATGGTCCTCCAGGACGTGCTCTCCAGCATGGGCGAGGGCACCTCCGCAAAGGTGGGGTCGGCCATCAGGCCGCTCGTCCCGCAGGCGTCCCACAGGTTGGCAGGCTCGGCAGGTACAGAGGTCGCCGACTGGGCCTCTCCGAGAGCGGCGGCCCGAGCGGCGACGTGGTCGGGGTCGAGGTAGCGATCGCGTTCACGGACACGACCCACTGCCGCAGCCTCGTCGGCTCCAACCCAGCGGCTGCAAAGCCCGTAGCCCCACTCGGAGGCGTCCGAAGCCACGATCATGGGGTTCCAGTCCGCCTCCCAGTCGGACACGAGCAGGACCATGAGCCCAGCAAACGTGCGTAGCTCGTCTGCGGCCGACGGCCAGAGGACGACGGGCTGGTCGTAGTGAGCCCTGATGAAAGGGTAGACGGTGGTGAACACCGACAGCGTCTCGCGCCGCAGCAGGCCGCAGAAGGTGGCGTGGCCGAGGATGGCCTCCACCTGCTGCCCCGTCACCCGCCGGCGGCTGGTGAGGGCCAGGATGGCCCCTCGCACCCTCCAAAAGCGCTTGGCGGTGAGGCGGGCGTGCCGCCTGCGGCCGTCCAGGAGAACGCCCAGCGCCTCCACCCCCTCGTCGGAGACGCCGACCTCGTGCACCGCCAAGCCGCGAGCCTCGAACGCCGAGACCACGTCCTCGAGCTTCGAGGCCACGATGCGGCCGTCGGCGCCGAACACCCCGATGTTGTCCACGTAGATGTAGTGGCGCGTCGCAGTGGCGGCCGCGCCCCGCAGCGAGAGCACGAGCGGCTGGCCACGGTCGCGTAGCAACTCAGCACGAGGAAGGATCTGGCTGGCGGCCTCCTCGTCGATGTCCTGGGCGAAAAAGAGGCTCCAGGCGAAGCCCATGGGGAGGCAGCTCGGCATCGGCGTGACCCAGTCGTCGGGCGCGAGGGGGCCGTCCTCGCAGGAGGTCAGCCCCACGTCTCGAGCTCGCACACGGGGCAGGCCGAACCAACGAGATAGCCACATTGGTATGCCCATCCTGTGGAACGCGTCCTGCACGTCAGCAGTGCCACAGTAGAGAGATGAAAAGTCTTGGTCGTCGGGAAGCTCGACCTCTATGCGGCCTAAGCCCTCGGCCGTCAGAAGGTCGACACGCGGCGGCGGTCGAAACCTACGATTGGTCCGCCGCGCGTCGAGAATAAGTCGGAGCTTCCCACTCTTCTTTCGAACGAAGAAAAGTCCTGCGCGCTCATGCGCCCACGTGCCGAAGGCTAGCATGTTCCTGGCCTTCAGGTCGCGCACGAAGCGGGCGTAGAGCTTCGGGCTGCTGGCGAGCTGGGGATCAACATAACAACGATCAGCATCGCCAGCTAACGTGTCACTAGCACTGGGATCGAGCATGCGCTCTCCTGCACCCTCCAGGTATACACGGCCACGATCCCCCACCAGGTCGAAGATGGACGACACCGCATCCCGCTTCTCAGGCAGGGAGAGCCGACCTCGCTGGTACGGCGCGAGCGTAGTCATAGAGGCGTCCATCCTGTAGCCAGACGCCTTGTCACAGAGCAGCTCCCGAAGGGCCACTTCTGGCGGCAAGTAGTACTCATGGCCACCGTCGCGCACCTGGAGCGCAGCCAACTGCTCCACGTAGGACAGCACCTCGTCACGCTCACGAACCACTCGGCACTGGCCGAACTCCGAAACATGTTGAGGCCACCCGCGGAGGCCAGGAAGTCGGTGGTCATCAGTCTTGGCAAGCCAATTAAGTGCATTCGAAGCGCCCTCGACGAGTTGCCGCACGTGGTCACGTCTGCGGCACCTCTTCGAACGACGCCCTCCCGAGGTCGGCGCGGACTCAAAAGGCGGCAGCGCGATCGGGAACTGGTCAAAAAGCTCGGGGCGTCCTCCCGCCCGAAAATCCCCCACTCTCAGCGGGCCGCGGCATGGAGGGCCAATCCGCGACCCGTCGTCTAGGTCACCCGCCATCAGGGGCGGCCGCATCGCCTCTGCCGCGGCCCCCCCGTCCTGCCACACCACCGCGGCCACGGCCGCCGTCACCACGGCCCGCAACGCCCGACAAGGCGGCACTCGGGTCGGCGCCTTCCGCGGGCCGCGGATGGCGCAAACGAGCCTGATCCAGCTCGTTCTGGTACTTCACCTTGGTCAGGCCCCACTTGCGCAGCTCGGGGGCGATGGCGTCGATCGAGATGGCCTCGCCCTCGTGGACGCCTGTCATCTTCCAGCTGTGGACCCCCCCGCCCGTCGCGTAGACGTCGATCACCCCGCGGATGCGTCTCGTCAGCTTCTCGATGCCCGCGGAGGCACCCAAGTTGAGCTGGTCGTACTCGCCGAACAACTCCAGGCTGTTCTCGCACACAATCCAAAGCCGACCTTCGGCGGGCTCCTCGCGCGCCCGCAGGAGACCAATGGGGTCCTCGGTAGCGTCACGCACAGCGCCCAGGCCGATCACGCCAGCGGGCCTCGCGGGAGCCCCCGCGCCGTCGGCGTCGCCGGCCGCGGCCACGAGGAGGCCAGCGGCGGCCGCGCCCCCAAGGGCCTCGGGCCCCCCTGCAGGCAGGGGCGCGGGGACGCCCAAGCGGGGCCGCCTGCCCACGCCAGCCACCGCCCTGCGAGAGCCCGTGTGGCCGATGTAGTAGGTCATCGCCAGCGGCTCCTCACCAATGGCCCTGATCTGCTCGACATGGGCCCTGGCCCAGTCCACGATCTGCCGACTGCTTGGATAGCGGTCGCCAGCAAAACGGTAAAATTCACCTCGCAGGCCAGCTGGACAGCTGCCCATGTCGTCCAGGAGGACGATGGCCTTGCCTTCGTCGCCCTCCAAGGTCATGCCTCCGTCGCACTTGTCGTGGTCAGGCGTCAGCACCTCCCCGCGACCTGCACGGCCGAACACGTCGCGAGCACAAGGGCCGAGGACCACCCATTCGTGGTAGAGGTCCTCTCCTGGGTATCTCACCGCCACGAGGCGGCCAGGGAGGAGCTCACTCAAGAACTCCCGCACCGTAGGACGCTCGCCTGTGGCCCCGAGACGCACGGCCCGCGACGCCAGCGCGAGCGCCATCCCGTCGACAGCAGTGACACTTGCCGCAGAAGGTCACCCAGTAGATGAGCTGCCCGAAGCTGACGAAACCCACGCCGCCCGCGAACAGGGCAAAGTCCCTCGCCCCGCTGTTGCACTGAACCTCACACACGCAGCGATCGGCGACGAGCCGCTGCGCGATCTCCTCCACGATGCCAGGGTGGACCCAGCTCACAGAGCAGACGGCGTCGTCCCGCGCGGGCGGGGCGGGAGGCGGCGCCAGAGTCTCCGAGCGGCACCAGTCGGCGTCGTCGCCGCCCCAGGGCGGCTGACGCGCGAAGTGGTCCCGCACCACGAAGGTCAGGAAGGCGAGGAACGCCCCCGCCACACCCTGCATGCGGTGAAAACTCTGGAGCCCAGACGACTACTGAGTGGCACGCTGAGGTGATGAGACCGACATCCCAAAATCCGCTAAGTCATTAATGTGCACGCACCCCCATCAACTTCTGGAGCCCCACGCGGATTTCTCTGATCGGCGCTGACCCCCCAGGGAGCGCGCCGGGGGCGGCGCTGGAGGCGCGGGGGGGGGGGGCGAGCGCCGACCCGAGAGATCTGCGCGGAGTTCCGACAATTTATGCCACTGCAGGTTCGCGTCGTGCCCGCCTGGGCGTTGATTTCTGATGCCGCGTAGATCGTTCAACGTTGAGCGATCGGCGGCTTTTCGATCGCCAGGCCGTTCCATATTGGCCTGAATTAGGTCCAAGAGCATTCAAGAAAATACCCCAATAGTATTCAAAAATTGTCAAACCAACAAAAAACAAAAAACAAAACAAAAAACAAAAACAAAAAAAAAAAAAAAAAAAACATACGATGTTTTGACTATGCTTGAACTTCCCTCCTGTGGAGGGGCAGGCCCGACTTAATAGTGGCCGAATATGGGCCCATGACAGCGTTCAACCTTGAAGGCCCGCGACGGGGTCGTCGCTGCGTCGACACGACACCAACATACCGTATGCCGCTGGTATCTTCCTCGGGTGAAGACCTCCTCCTCCTCCTCCTCCTCCTCCTCCTCCTCCTCCTCCTCCTCCTCCTCCTCCTCCTCCTCCTCCCTCCTCCTCCTCCTCCTCCTCCTCCTCCTCCTCCTCCTCCTCCCCTCCTCCTCACTCCCCTCCCCCTCCCCCTCCCCCTCCCCACCTCCCCTCCCCCTCCTCCCCATCCTCCTCCCTCCCTCCCTCCTCCTCCTCCTCCTCCTCCTCCTCCTCTCCTCCTCCTCCTCCTCCTCCTCCTCCTCCTCCTCCTCCTCCTCCAATAATCATTTCGCTCGAGCCCTTGCTTGTTCCGTTACTTCCTCAGCGCCCCTGCGCTTCCCTCGGGCCATGGCGGTCCACGCGCGCCTCCGTTGGCTTCGCGATCAGATCGTCGCTGGAGTCGCCGCGCACCTCACCTTCGGAGCCGCCGCCATCGAGGGCCGCGGTAACGTCAAGGTGGTCCTCGACCCAGCGCGGCCGCGTACGTCGCCCACGGCACGGGCCATGCTTCTCAGCGCCCTGTCGGCCCTCGAGGAGCAGGCTGGATACGCTGTCGTGGTGGACCGCGGCCACCGCTTCTCTGACGGCCGCGCGGAGGTCTGTTTCTGGTTCAGCGCACGCCCCGCGGCTAGCCAGACACGGGCCCGCAGCCGTGCGGCGCAGGCTGAGGCCGATGCGATCGACCCCGACGCCGAGCAGGAGCAGCTTGGAGCCGAGGATGCGGCGGCAGCGCCACGGTGCCCCGAGGGGCGGAGTCGTGGATGGAGGTTCAGTTCATGCTGCTGGTGTCGACGGCCATGCCGATGATCGCCTTCCTGGAGTTCATGCTACTGCTCCGACCGTCGCTGGTCTCCCTGGAGGCGGTGATTCACTGGTTGGCCGTGTGACTGGCGCCGCCGCGCATCCTGGTGTCGTGGCTCCCGCGGGGCCCCTGCGGGGGGTATCTGCCCCAGATGCGGTGGAGGCGGCTGCGGAGCCAGCAGTGCGGCCTGACGCTGGAGTCCCTGGTGGTCAGGCGGGTCGTGAGGCTCAAGGGGGCGGCGCAGGCGTGGGTTCGTCCCCCTGGCGGAGGTGCGCGGCTTCGTCCCCCTCATCGCCGCCCCCTTTCACGGATGCTTGCGCTGGAGGTGCTGCCGCGGACGTGGGTGCGCTATTGCACGAGCTCGGGACGGCGACGGCGGCGGCTACCCCTGCCCAGTCGGATGCCGAGCGATGGGCAACTGGCACCGAGCGTGCGAGGCTCCTCCGAGACGCTGATGCCCTACGTGGGGGATCGAGATCGGCGGATTGCAAGCAGAGTTGAAGTCTTTCGGCCACACCTTCACCTTCATGTACTCGGCTTCCTGTTCTGGGTCGTCACGTTGCTGGAGGAGAAGGGTGGTTTTTTTCGCTCGGACATTTTGTTCGGGCCACTGCCAGAGTCGGGTTCTTCTTCACGGCATCGAAGGGGGCTTGATTATAGTTCGGCTGAGCCTGACCCAGGCCCACGGGGCAAGCAAGGCATATTGTATTGCTTATTCTTGTTTGTGGGACTGTATATTCGTTGTTTGTTTGATATCAGAGGCGCTCTTGCGGTTTCAATACACTTTGTTTTCGAGCTTCTCATCTCGCCCCTGGACATTGACAGCTGGAGGGACATGAGCGTCTCGCGCAATATGGTGAACGGCTACTCTGTCCTGGTGCGGGGCTTCCTGGTCATCGCGGCCCCCGTCGTGGTCAGGGGGTGGAGTGCCCATGTACGTATTGCCTCGCAATCTCTCCGAGTTCCTCTGAGCGGGCGAAGATTAATCGTAACCGACATGATCGCAATATCCGTAACTCCGTAACTCCTCCTCCTCCTCCTCCTCCTCCTCCTCCTCCTCCTCCTCCTCCTCCTCCTCCTCCTCCTCCTCCTCCCACCTTTGACAAGCGCTTGCTCGCAAAGTAGCTACCCGCACATGGCCCGGATCCGTGGCATCGAGCCCAACAGGCCCCGTTGCATCGAGGCAAAAACATGTTTTTTTGTCTGGGGACGCTTGCAACGTAGACCCTTGCGAGCAGCGGCACGCGCCCGGCGACACCTGCTGGGCCGAGCTCTGACCCGACACCTCGGCCGCGGCGCTCTTCGCGCCCACGCCGGCGCCCGCGGCGCGCTCGAGGCTGGCCGCCTGGCCCTCCGCCTGGGCCGTGGCCGCGTCCAGGCTTGCCTGCAGCTCCGCGCGCGCCCGGCGTGCCTCCAGCAGCTCCTCCCGGAGCCTGCCGCGGCATGCCACGGGAGCATCCCAGGGCCGTCTTGTTGGCTCTCGCGAATCGGCGCTGCTCGACGCCAGCCGACGCTGGATCACGGCGAAGCGGCGTGAATCGACGCTACATCGGCGCCATAAAGCATCGACTATTAGACGCTGGTCGACGGTAATGCACCCTAATAGCGACGCTGAAGTCGGCGTTCATCGACGCTACATCGGAGCGAAAGCATCGGTCATTAGACGCCAGTCGACGCTCATGCCCCCTAGAGACGGGATTGCGAGAGTACGCGAGGCTCCCATGATTTGCTACTGGACGGAGCCTCCTGGGAACTCCTGGGACGGCCGCGGGCTCTGCCTCCCTCACAGAGGAGCAGCAAGCGGCATAAGCACGAGAACGGCGCTCAGGCACCGTACCGTGCTTGGACTGCCTTCGGGCCTCGCTCCAACGCGGTACGGTGCACAGGTTTGCGGCCCTGAGGGTCGAAAAACTGTGCACCGTACTCCAGATGTCGTAATAAAAGGGAGGGGGTCTGGACCCTCCAAGACAAGCCATTTCAGACCCCCCCCCGTGGGAGAACCCTCCAAAACATCGTCCCCAGACCCCCCCAGGCCCTCCAAGATAGCCTGGAAGAGACCCCCCCCGAAATGAGACCCCCTCCCTTTTATTACGAAATCTGGAGTACCATTCCTGGATCGAAGATCGACGACACCTCGAGAGACGCCCACGCGGTACGGTGCACACAGGTCATCCGCGGAAGAAACACCTTCGGAGGTCCGCGCGGGGCTCTTAGATCGGCGCTGGGGTCCCCCATGGCGGCGCCCCGGCACCGCCCCTGGCGCGCTCCGCGCGCCAAGGATAGGGGTCCAGCGCCGATCCAAGAAATCCGCGTGGACCTCGGAAAGCTTGGGCTTATGTCAATTTGTCGTCCTCGACCTCAACTTCTTTCTCAGGGTGCCCAGCTCCTCGTCCAGCTCCGCCAGCGCCCAGCTGAGGCTCTGGGAAGCCTTCTCGAGGTCTTGCACCACCCGCTCCCGCAGGGAGCCCGAAAGCACACATCCCAGGAACGTGCACTCGACCTGCACTGGGGCACCGTCGACCACACGGTCCACCCGGAGCTGGCAAAACGGCGGCAGTAGCCACTCGCGCTCACTGGGATACTGGCTCAGCTCGAACATTGGAAAGGCCTGAGCCACGCCGGAGATTGTGAAGAGAACGTTGCGCTCCCTCGGCTCCTGCTGATTGCAACCCGCCACCGTGCCGTGGGCACCGCATGGAGCGGCTGCAGGTCCCTTCGAGCCCTCACCGTGGAGCACTGCAGGCACTCTACACCGCACCTCCGACCCCCGATCTCCAGGATTCCTGGGCGCTCCCTGGCGCGTATGGGGCTCCCCGCGTGACCTTGCCAGAGGCCTCGGGAGGTCGGCTCGGAACCGAAACTTCCAAAGTGCCCTGGGATGGTCACAGGGGCTCCTCCTGGGTCTCTCCTGGAGGCCTCAGGCAGTCTTGATGGCTCTGGGAGCCGATCCAAGAGGCAAGAATCGCTGGACAAAAACAACGGCTTCCTCCTCCTCCTCCTCCTCCTCCTCCTCCTCCTCCTCCTCCTCCTCCTCCTCGAGCATCTTCGCTAGCTCACTCTTCAGGGCCGCGCTCGACCCCTCGAGGGCCCCAAGAGGGCCCCAGGAGGCTCCCAAGGAGACCCCGGGAGGCCCCAAGAAGGCCACCAATACAGAACGGCTGGTGTCCACCATGTTTCGTTTACTTCGCAAGCCTCGGCCCTGTTTCTCGTCGTTTCTGTCTACAGTTGTATCTGATATTGATGTTTTGTTTCGCTTTGATCTTGACACCGCGCCCCCCCCTGGACCGGGCTCCCAAAAGACACCTTTGTCACCCCCGCCCAAAGACCGCAAAAGGCTTCCGGGAGGTATGTGTTCCACGACCCAGGCGCAGTGGCGGGATGAGACGAGGGCCACTAGATCCGCCTCCCACTGTGCTTGCCACAGGGGTGCGTGGCGCGCTCGACTTCTAGTGTTCCCTAGACAGCTTGTAAGGGACCGATATATTTCTCAAATGGTAATTCGTGCGCTGCCAGATCCGAAATCGCGCAGGCGACGTTGCCTCCCGTGGCATCCCATTGCCGTCCCTATCCCTATGCATGTCCGTATCCATATCTCTATCCCTATCCCTCTGCCTCTATCCCGATCCCGATCCATATTTTACCCGCATCCCGATCATGTATGCCTATCCATACCCCTATCTCCATCCCGATCCCTATCCCGATCCTTATATCCCTACACTCCCAAAACTCCTATCCCTGGATCCCTGGCCCTATATCATGATTCCACAGTAATCGACACCCCCTCCCCCGGACGACCGGCAGCCAACCCGAACCCATGCGGATGTCAGTCCCTCCCCCACACCAACCCTGTCAAAAACAATGCTAACACACACACACACACACACACACTTGGTGGCAAAATCCGGGGTCATGCTCGTAGGTCCCGCGAGCACTTTGTCCCACCAGACACCATGATGGCCATGCAGCCGCGATTGCGCCTTGGTTTTTGGCTTTCGACAAGGATGGCGGGGGCCAACATATGTCCCGATGTGTGCTGTCACGTGCGCAGGCGCACCTGGCACACTCTGCGCGTGCCCCGAATGGGGCGCACCCGGCGCGGCCGGAGCATGCGGCACACATAGCGCACGTGAGGCATGTGGCGCATCTGGCGCACCGTGCGTGCCTGGCACGCCTGGGCCCTGGGGGTGCCTGGCGCCAAGGGAGCGCGTGGCGCGCCTGGCACGCGTGGCGAACTTCCCTCCTCCTCCTCCTCCTCCTCCTCCTCCTCCTCCTCCTCCTCCTCCTCCTCCTCCTCCTCCTCCTCCTCCTCCTCCTCCTCCCCCTCCCCCTACCCCTCCCAGCGTCGCGCGCACGGGGTCTGCTTTGGTTCCCAGTAGCTGCCCATGCTGAGGCTCGGGTGCTACCGATGCGTTGGAAGGGCGGATGGGAGTGAGCCAGGCGGCTTGCGGGCGGCGAGGGTGTCGTGATCCCTATCCGTAGCCCTATCTCTTTCCCGATCCCGATCCCCATCGTGGCCCCCCATCGCAGCCCCGCACAGTGACCCCCAATGGTGGCCCAAAAAATCGTAACTGTGCAAAGCTGCTCAGGGACTTCTGCCGCAGCTGGGTCATTTCGAATATTCCAGAAGGTCGCCAGTGGCATCTCTGCCGATCCAGCGGGCCATCCGAGAAGAGAAGACTTCTCCTGACGCATGCAATTGTGAGTGCCACGTTGTGGCCATCGTTTTCGGTGGAGCCCCCTATGGGCCAGGAAACGTGTGAGGGGTGTACTGGCATGGGTGGGGAACTGCATGCGAACTGCGCCACGGAGGCACCCTTGTGGAGGTGCCTCTGGGGCCACGAAACGTGTGAGCGGCATGCCAGAATTAGTGGGCAGCCACATGCGAACGGCGCCACGGAGGCACTCGGTGAAGATCCCTATGGGGCCACGAAACGTTTGAGGAGTGTGCCGAGATTGGTGAGGAACCGCATGCGAACTGCATCACGGAGGCACTCGGTGGAGTCGAATTGGGGGCCACGAGGCGTGTGAGGAGTGTGCCGAAACCAGCGTAACGCCCACATTTGAACTGCGCCACGGAGGCACTCGGTGGAATCCAACTTGGGGCCACGAGACGTGTGAGGCGTGTGCCGAAACAGGCGTGACGCCCACATGCGAAATGCGCCACAGTGGCACTCGGTGGAGCTCCCTGCGGGGCCACGAAGCGTGTGAGTGGTGAACCGAAAAGGGCGTGACGCCCACGTGCGAACTGCGCCACAAAAGCACTCGGTGGATCCCCCTTCCACGAACCGTGTGAGGGGTGTGCCGAAACGGGCGTGACGCCCACATGCGAAGTGCGCCACGAAGCCTTAGATGGAATCCCCTTGTGGTGCCACGAAGCGTGTGAAGTGTGTGCCGAAACGGGAGTGATGATGACGACGAAGAAGGGAGGAGATGGAAGGTGAGGTGATGTGGGGCGTTCTCTTCAAAACGAGGACCCAACACCACAGGATGGTTGGGACAAACGACATTCAACAAAAGTGTCTCCAAGACGGTCAAGCCCAAGATTGCCTCCAATACGGCCCAAGACGCCTCCAAGACGGCCAAGATGGCCCCCAGAGAGCACAAGATGGCCCCAAGATGCCTCCAAGACGGTCCAAGATGGACCCAAGACGGCCCGAGATGGCCTCAAGATGTTACTGTCCCGTAGGTTTCTGGCTGCTATTCGAATTCTTGCCTTTTCGGGCGTCCAACTGCCCAAGACGGCCCCAGAGGTCTTCAAGAGGGCCCCGAGACAGGCCAAGACGGCCCCAAGACGACCCGAGAGGGCCCCCAAGACGGCCCAAAGAGGGCCCCAAGACTGCCTGAGATCAGACACCTCGAAAGACGGCCAGAAAGCGTCCCATAAGGACCCCAAGACGGACCCAAGGGGGCCCTAGACGGCTTCCGCAGACCAAGCGGCCCTTATCTGCCCCCAGAAGCCCCCAAGAGGCCTCATAAAGCCCAAGGAAACTTCCAAGAAGCCCTCAGGGGCCCCAGAATGCTCCCAGAAAGCCTTCAAGAGGCCACAAGAGTCCTGCAAGAGGCCAATCGTCTTCCGCCTCCTCCAACTGCTCCTCCAACTCCTCCTCCAACTCCTCCTCCTCCTCCTCCTCCTCCTCCTCCTCCTCCTCCTCCTCCTCCTCTTCTTATTCTTCTTATATTATTCTTCGTAGTATTATTGTTAATATTGTTACCATTAATAATAATAGTATTATTATTACTAATATTATTAGTACATTTATTCCTACTATTAGTATTATTAATAATAATTTATTATTATGAATAGCATTAGTATTAGTATTAATGTTACTAATATTATTAATTATTACTATTACTATTATCAGTATTCTTATCATTATCATTACTATGATTCGGATTATTATTATGATTATTCCTCTGATTCTTCTTCCTCTTCCTTCTCTTTCTCATCCATTCCTTGTCCTTATATGTAACTTCTACCTGTCGCACCCCGAGGCAAGTGTTTAGGGCGGGCCGGGCGTTTCGCCTGAGATTCCCTCACCATTTACGACTCTGAACCTTAAAAGGTAACAACAGTTTCACAGATGATAGGCGGGTGGTTTTCAACATGTGGCTCTCGCCTTAGCGCCCCTCGCTTTAAAAATGTGCAATGGTTTCACGGATTGAGGGCGGGTCGTTTTCAAAATCCGGCTCTCGCCTTACCGCCGCGCACATTCGTTTTGAAAGTTCCAAGAGTTTCACGGATTGAGGGCGGGTGGTTTTCAAATTGTGGCTCTTGCCCCATCGCCGCGCACATTCGTTCTGGAATTGGCAAGGGCTCCACGGATTGAGGGCGGGTCGTTTTCAAAATGTGGCTCTCGCCTTACCGCCGCGCACATTCGTTTTGAAAATTTGCAACAAGAGCTTCACGGATTGAGGGCGGGTCGTTTTTACAATGTGGCTCTCGCCTTAGCGCCCCACACATTCGTTCTAAAACCTGCATGTGCTTCACGGATTGAGGGCGGGTCGTTTTCAAAATGTGGCTCTCGCCCTAGCGCCGCGCACATTCGTTTTGATCATTTCCAAGAGTTTCACGGGTTGAAGGCGGTTCCTTTTCAAAACGTGGCTCTCGCATTAGCGACGCGCACCTTCGTTTTGGAAATGTGCAAGAGTTTCACGGAATCCCATAATTAACGTACTGGAAACGATGTTCTGGAAGGATTCAGGATCATGCGGGTGCAACAATTATGCTGGTTCGCGGTGTTGAAGTCCTGTGAATGGCGTCCTGGCACGAATCCGGATCATCAAGACGCAACAATCAGGTTGATCCGTGGCGTTGAAATCCCGAGAACCATGTTTTGGCACACTTCGGGGGTTGTCTTCCAACGAGGTCGTTCCCTCAATGGAAATGAACCGTTGTATGAAGCCTATGAAGAGGGAGCTTGGAGGGAAGGTTAATTCCAACGTCGTTGGCGACTCTTGGGTTTACACTGGTCCTCCTCCTCCTCCTCCTCAACCTCCTCCTCCTCCTCCTCTTCCTCCTCCTCTTCCTCCTCCTCTTCCTCCTCCTCCTCCATTCCTTTTCCTTAAAAATAACTTTTCCCTGTCGCACCCCGAGGCCAGTATTTAGGGCGGGCCGGGCGTTTCGCCTGAGACTTCCTCACCGCTTATGACTCTGAAGAA